CTTTTGCTTTAGACAAAAGGCTTTGAACGAATGAGAACAATTAGAAAATTTATAAAGGCTACTGTTGCACTTCTATTTCGCCCGCGGAAGGGTACTCCGGAAGCTCGCTCGATTAGCTCCTATAGTTTAGCGAGGACCTCGTGACACATGGTTTTGTTGCAAGTCGGAATTCAGGGCAATATGACCATTTCACGTTTAGATTCAGGGGACAACTCTTGTTGTGGGGTTAAATACGGGGTATGTATGTGCGCTATGCTTTCACACCAAGCATCTAAGGGGAAGACTAAGATATTTATCTTTGTTGCACATCTGAGTTCAGGGTATTCGGGTTCATTGCGGTGAGATGACGGAAAAGTCATCTGATATTTGTTTTGTTGCGGATCTGTATTCAGGGCACAGGATTCTCCCGAGCACTATGGTGATATAGTCCCTGAAATCGTGTGCACCCTTGATACAGACCTGCCACATACAGAAAACCCGAAGCAATATTTGGTTAATGCGCGGTGATAGCTCAGGAACATTCGCGTGCCCTGAATTCAGACCTGCAACAAAACTATCTTCCAGCTAGTTAAGCTATAAGGCTGTCGGCAAACCATCGGAGCCCTTGCGAAGATCAGATGACCTCTATTTGTTGCAGGTCTGAATCTCGGCACGGCCCGACAGTTGTAAAATCATCTCAACAATCTAACAAACGGTCATGAGACACTAACATATTGACTTCCATGTAGATCTATAATTCGGTTCTTCTAGTCCTAAACTCGAGCAGCTGAATTAAAAACGGCCAAAACTCCACATAAATGCTATGTAATGGCAAGCTACAGGCACTTCGGTTTTCGAGCTCGAAGATTTGGATTGATTAACGGTAAATGATAGATAATACTTATACTCCGGAAATATACAACGACATCGATTGTGACTGTAAGTACTTGCCTCAATCAAATTCAGTAATCGGAAGATTCCTATTGATTTTATTAACCCCCCAGCTCAAAGTTTCCCGACTTTCGAGGTACTTTCGAGACTTGACAATTTTTCTTTTCTTCTGTGTGGTTGATCTCGCTTATTGTAATCTAGTCTAGTCTAGTATTAGTCGCCCGATTAGGTTGATTCACCATTGTATTGAACGAATTTGAGCTTGGCGAAGTTGAAGAGCAATGCAACAGGTGCGGCTGTATGAGTCTCTTGGCTATTATGTTATCCAGCTTTGTGATTGACGGTAGGTTCAAGTTAAAAAGAAATTAATTTATGCCTACGTATTCAAACAATCATTTTCTACTAATCTAAGCCACTAGATTTACATGGTCCTTATTGTTGAAATTGATTAGTTTACTTGATGGTCTGCATTACCGTGGAATAATAGGCGAGGTAGCGTCAGCGAAAGTTCTGTTGACAACGTCTACAGATTTTTTATATTTTTACGTCTGCGTACAGTGAGAGACATCACCTCTCTAGCTACCACTATCGATCATTAATAAAATTCGAATGGCGCCTTAGTTTGTGAGTTAAAACTGACATCCCTTCGTATGTGGCGTGAGACAACATAGATCTGAATGCCTGGAGCGTCTTACGCGTTATTGTACACCACCGTTCAAACTCAATCCCAGAATTTCCCCGATTATGGCCACTCTAGCATTCAAGCTATGGATATTATATTAAATCGTCGAAAATCAAAAAAATAGTCACAACGGACGAAAACCTAAATGTCCGAAGATAAATGATTAGAAAGTGCCATGTCTGTGAACCTACCTGAAAAATAGTACTAATTGCAGTAGCTCGGACTTTTACATCATTTCTAACGAATGAGAATATCTAAAATGAGTGTGTGTCGATATTGTTGCATGTCTGAAAATGCCGAGTCTGAAAAGTTGGTAAAACTAATCCAGCACATTTTACTCAAATTGTAAACTCCTTGTTGATGTATGAGTTTCTGGTGATTCTTTTTTTTTTGTCGATCTCGGACTCTATATGTGATTCATCTATATGCGAACCTTCTTAAAATTCGGGGCGAGGCAGCTCGCCAGTAATTCGGAGCGCCCAATAAAAGAGTGTATTTTGCTGAATTATCTTTGAATACCTAGCTTCATTATCGCTAAATTGAGTGTCTAATAAGCTTTTGATATAAAAAGATTGAAAATAAAGCTTATTCTTTGTTTTTTGTTTTTCTTTCCAATTCTTTATATAATTGAACCTGTAATAAAAGATATCATATAATTATCTATATATAGATTATATAACTAGGTATATACAGATTGAGTTTCTGGGTATAGAAATATAATTAATATCCACTATATAAAAATTCCGTAAAAACCGACACATAAGTTTCTTTCGCTACGCTCCGAAACATAAAAGCTAAACTGTAGCGGGCAGAAGAACAGAATTTCGGGGCCTTGTATATGCGAACTCTAAACGACATCCTTTCGCTTAGTTGCACACTAAAGAATATGAATTTAAGATGTGCGTTGAACTATGAGATCTGTCGACGAATGGGTGATGAGAGATGTATGAAGTTTGATCTTTGTTGCATGTCTGAATATGAAGGGTCGAAATGTGCGGTTCAATATATGTTACAGCCCTAGAATAAACGAGAGTATTGAGAACAGAATTTGGACATCAGATGGTTGTAGAAGAGTGTGAAGTTACTGCGTGCCTGTTTATCAACGCCTGAATTTTGCGGTTGACTAAATGCTGTACTTCTAGAGTTGGACAAAGAATATGACAAGAACCTTGGGGGTCAGCTGATCCAGAAGAAATCGATCTTTGCAGAGTGTTGCACGTCTGAAGATGATGCGGCTATACTATGTCAGATGATCTGGAAATAAGTTCAAAACCCCACGAAATGTTGCATGTCTGAAAATTCTTCGGGTAGACCATTCAACATGAGTGGAAGATCACGTAACGAACTCAGTGCTGGATACCTCACTTTGTAAATCCAAGATTAAGGTTTCGGAACCTAGAATACAATATATGAGACGGATTGATGGTAGCAGTTCTCAGAAGTATATCATTGGGGGACAATGTGAGATTTGCAGAATGTTGCACGCCTGGAACTCGACCGGGTAGACTATAGATGGTCCCCATGGGAGTTAAATGTTAGATCTCCCTTATTTTAGACTAGCAATGATGCTTTCGGTTGATTGTATTGATGCTGTTAGATAAAGTTTTAGTATGAATTTTTTAAAGAATTGATGATTGGAGGAGGAGTAAACTATACAGAATGTTGCATATCTGGAATCGACTCGGGTAGACTATATCATAGATTTGTGAACAATCAATAGCTTTAGGCGTTATGCGATCAAAAGTACATTCTATGCTCCGCTAGATGAATAGTTTGGTATACTATCCAGATATGGAACCCAATGAAGATAAGCCATTCAACCGATGGTCTATTTAAAGTAGCTATATTAGAACTGGAAATGGCTTTCATAGGAGAATCACTAAATGGAGGTTTCTGAGAAAGAAATCCACTGGGGAAAGTCTCTAAAAGCGAAAGATTGTTCTAGAGTCACCAGCATTCTCAATTCCAGAAGGGGTATGAGTAGATCAGATTTCAATGGAATATAATTGGAGAGTTGCCAGCTTGTTGCACGTAATGTAAATCATTTTTATGAAAGCTAAATTATAGATCACAGTCATACGGTCTGCTACCCAGATCATTACAAAAGCTAGGTCAATTCAGATCCCAATCCGCCAATGATTGGAAGAGTGATAAAATATGTTGCACGTCTGTAAAAACCAATAGTTTGGTGGTACATTCAAATGTAGTAGTTACATCTAAAAGTTAAGTCTTCATTGCTCTCCTTTGGTGTGTTGTTGAAAGTGTGGTTAAATAAACTATCCAGAGTCCAGACCGTTGAAGTAAGGGAACTGTATTGACTCTTGCATTTGGGTTTCTGCCAATATCATGAATGGGGATAGATCTGCTGCAAATCAGGAGGGAAACGTATACTTGATAATCTATATCAATACGGTCACACACATATGATTACATAAGTTGACGTATGATTCTCTGTCATCTCTAGCGGTTGTATATATGCACTTTCGTCAATAATCAATGTCGGTGCCAAAAGCGTTCATTACCTATCGTCTCTTGGATAATAGAACTAGAAGTAATCGATGAAATGGTTTAGATGTTCATGCGGAGTCATAGCAAGTTTCCAGGTCCTTCATAGAATATCCATTTCATAACGCTGTTAGAAATCAGGAAGATGTGGCAAATTTATATGTGAAGTTCTACTACTGTTCGAAACCCAAATCCAAGCATTTGACTTTTTATCTATGAACCGATCATTATCTGGATATCAGTCAATACGTGCCAATATTCGACCACTCTCCCTTTCTCAATGCCTCCCACGTTGACGGATGTAGCTTCAGTATTGTCATACTCTATTTCTTGGAAATAAACCTAAGCTGTACTTCTCCTCTCTCGCCGAGACATAAGTTTATCGATTTTCCCGATTGTCAAATTCACACATATAAGTTCAATAGGTAATTGAGAAATTTTGTGAATATTACTTTAATACATTAACTGCTATAGCCAAATATCTTTTCCTGATAAGGACTTCCTTTCATTAGAACCGTAACCATCAGGATCTACGTGGGTGTCAGATCGCCGCAATACAATAGATGGGTCCGTAAGTACAGCCAGCTTCCCAACATTGACTCCTTTGCTGCTTCAAATTTCCAACCTCTATACGAATATAGTAAACAAAATTGTCTTTATATCAATTCTTGCCATTCTCTTCCATCAGAACAGCTGCTTTGTAGCTGCTATAGCCTCCTGAAACTCGACCACTGTATGCCCGCTTCATCTTTTATTACACATTATCACTTCAGTACTTGCAGCCTCGATTGATATACGTCTGTGGAGACTTCGATTCGTTTCCATGATGATGTTTGACGGTCCAAGATTGGAGAGTGCGCGTGCCAGTGAAATCCTTCGATATCCCAACTACAGGCCCAATAATTGAAGATATCGAGATCTGCATATCTATTCATATACACTTTCATCTGGTAGTTGACGGGGCATCATGCGAGATTGAAAATAAAGTGTCGGCGACATCAGCGACCTTCATTCGAGTGCCAGAGCTCGGACTATTGTTGAAGCTAGGAGTTTGACTTATGGCTAGTTGACTGCTCGGACCAGATATAGACGCCTTTGATTCTTGCTGACTTCTCACTTCTGACTCCTCATCATAAAATCCACCTCTCATCTCACAGTACGATGCATTGCAGAGATTTCCGTAGCAATTGTGAGGAATATTACCGGAGTTTAGATTGATCCAATTAGTGCTTGGTCCCAGGACTTCCCTTCCTTTAAATCCCATTTCCTCTGCCGTCGTCAAGGACACTGACTTTCCAGAGTCTGTGATGAATGTTCCAGTGTTCCGTTCATTTGATGATGGAAATGTATTCTCAAACGCCTTGTTAACTCGCATGATGAATGTTACCGCTTCTTTTAATGTTGTTGTGATGCTATTGATTGGTGGTATGAAATCAGGATCGTCATCCTCGACTTGTTCAACTCCCTCAAAGTTTAAGGATAGAGCAAGTCCATTCTTGATCCCAGTTTTCACCAATAAGACTTTTCGTTCGGCGGTCGACACACCTTCTTTGCAATCTCTCATAATGACAATCACACTTCGGAACAAGGATGTGATTCTATAGTCTTTTGGATCATTGTGATCTTCTGTTGCTAGTGCTGGGTCGTGGCTCCTTAGTTGAGCGACTTTGATTTCCCCTTTCCTTTTTTGGCTGAAGATATAATTCTTTGAGCAGCCATCAAATTGTCTGCAGAAATTGTTATGGAGTTCAAGGCATTTATTGATTTTATGCGACGGCGACATAACCACTATCTTGGCAAAAAAGCGCTGAAAAGTGATATCTTTGTTATGAATATCTCCTTCGAACCATTGTTCTGATATATATCGGTGGACCGATGGTATGACTGATTTGTTTGCGGTTCTGCCTTTGAGAAAGAAGATGCTGGTACATTTATTGGATACGTCTCTAATGTTGCCAGGTTGAATGCGACCATAGTAGCTCACAAAGGTGTGAGAATTCTCTACGTTTGCGAGATGGATCTCATATTTAAACACGAATTCTTCATACATTCGATGGTTGTGTAGGAGTTCTTCCTCATTTTTAGGTTTGTGGATGAATCCTCGCAATTCACGAACGCTAGGATCCATGTTTTTGCCCCTTTTCAAATTGCTCAGTGAGTGGAGCAGCTGAGTTTCAGAATTCTGAAGTCCCTTGATATTTTTTGAAGAAAATTTTTGTAGGTTCAGATTTCTTTTCGTGGGTGATGTATACGTGTCCGTAGCCAGAGCTTGAGTACTAGTTTGAGACTGTGAGTGCTAGTTATGGCCTTAGATATTCCGAATCAAGGAAGGATAGTTCCACCGTCATGGGAATTACAGCTATTATTATCTTAATATGAACATGGAATATATGTCAATTCCCCAGAGAACTGATTTATAATTATAATGTTAGATCAACAAGAATTCGAACAATCCACTACTGGGCATCAAAGGATTGGAATAACCGAGGCTTCAAAGTTCAAATGAATTACGATGATCTAGGACTATCATTTGAATCAACTCGACTCTTGAGAGTGCGGGAGCATATTGTTCAGATGGGTTTCGTAGGTTACAGTCTCAATAGTATGTTCTGAAACAAACCTGAGTATAGATATTTCTATCCTAGCAAGACTGAGAGATCATGATGTCAGACTCGAGACTCTTTCCTTGAGATCAAGGTCAAATGCCTGCAAATATCGCGTTTTAGGAACTCGGAATCGTCATGTCAAGAGATCTCAGGAGAGCATCACATTTTTCTGTCGATGAGAGAAAGAGGCTATGATTTATGGCGATGATGAAACAACTTCGATCCCCTGATGTTAGTTATGCTATAACGCTGCACAATCATCTTGTACTCTAGAATTTGCACAGGATTAATCATTGAAACTCCTGATATATTAACCAAAATTCCATGAGCATGTTGGTGCTCTCCTAATGCAAAAGATGGATTTCCAAGCTTTTTTAGTAATCTTCACAGGAAACTTTGAAACTCACCAGATTCACTATTTTGAGCCTTGCCCATAGATAGCCCCTACTATCACGCTCTAAATCTCAATCTCATTATTAAAGGGCCACCAGAAGCCGAAAGAGAATTAAGAAAGACGCCCCAGACGCTCAAAACCTGGCAATATGTTTTTCTTGGTCACATCATTACTTGAGTAAGACTATTGGTGTCTATGCATTCATCCTGCTTATTACAACTGTTACTTCAAGGTGTAAGGAGAATAAATAAGATTCAGAGATAACTAGACTGACAACGAAGTGTCTTTTTCGACAGTAGTAGTAGAGTTCATAAATGTACAGAATTTCTGTAAAGAAGCACTCTCTTCCACACCCTCTCAAATGAAATTCGCAGTCAGCTTTCGAAGCTGGAAGAATCTAAAGGTAGAGATGTTGCAGGAACATATCATTGCATCTTTCAAACTCAACCTGAAGAGTACTGAACGCAGAGAGCCTTGGGAAAGAGTTTATATATTTCAATCCTCGTAAGTACCTGGTTCTTACAGAGATTCACTATAAGCACGTGAATTTTAATCTGACTCAAAAACTATCCCAATAGGAACTGCGGTATGTAGAATTCCTCAACTATAAAAGAGATCTATTTGCCATTAATGCTCCCCCATAACGCTCTACAGGCGAACTCTACCCGGATAGGTCTCGCAGAAAATCACACCAGTTAATCTATTCATGATCTGAGTTACATAAGACACATGCTTTGCCAGCACGTTCGAGCAGGTTAAGTGGATTTACTTGCGTATAGATCGCAGTCGTGTTCGCTGTTAATGACTCCTTGACGGTATATTAACAGCAAGAAAATGGTAATCATGACGGCAGCTGCAAACACATAAGAGAACAGATAAGAAATAACAACAAAAACAACCGAAATCATGACGAAAATTGCAAATATATCATGGTTGAGAGAACAGTATATTTTACCGAGGAAATTTGATCCATAAGATTCATTGATAGAGCATGATACACCACGAACAAGAGGAGGTTATCTCAACTTACTTTCAGAAGCGACCTTTCTGGTCTTTTCTTATTATTCAACCAGCCTGGGGTACAAGAACGCGCGTGAAGACAGTGCTTTATATAGGTAACTTATCATAAGAAATGGAAGGTCACTTATCATAAGAAATGGATGCTCACTTCAATATTTCTATTCACTCTGTAATCACAGACAGTGCCAAGCTCGAGATCTTTGTGGATCTCCAATATTACCCACTCAAGTACCAGATCCATAGTCGAAGAATTTTGTAGCCAATGTTTATATAAGAGCGCATGCGCTCTAGGTGAACTTTCTGAGCAAACAATTTGTCGAGCTACGCGAAATATAGCAAATGTTCCGATGTGTCGGGATAGATTGTTACGGGAAAGGCCATCTGCTGCTACGATCTGGATGACTGGTTTCAGGCTGGAGAGGCGGCAAGTTTCTCTTTTACTGTCGTCCGAACACTTGTCATAGCACTGTCATCTTTTACTTGTATCATACTTTGTTATCACCTCAAGGGAGATTCATCCCAGTGCTTCCGATTACTTCATCGTACGTTTCGAATTCCACAAACATTCCATACTACCTGTTGTGAAAATTGTTGTTGCTTTGAGGTTGCTGAAGAAGCAACAATGTGCGGGAGGAAAATCTTATATTGGACAGCCATAAAATCTCCGCGGCTTTCCAGGTTTGATACCTCATTAAGGAATAGGAAATTATACGAACGAATCAAGCCCTTTTATAACTATTAAAATGAAGTAGTTGAAAGAGGGTAGTGCCACTGAAAATAATCACGGCATCCACACATCAAAGATCTATATTCATAGAACCTGAAGTGAATCGACGGAGAAAATTTCCTCCAGCTCGAATATATAAAGCTTCTAAGCCGCATTATAATGCGTTAAGTGCCACTTCAGAACTATTCTGATGGATGTTGCAAGGAGTGTGGTTCAGCTGTCTATGATTAAGATTGAGGTATAAAAATGGAAGAACAGGAATCATCTAACCACATCCAACCATGAATTTCATTTCCATATTAACTTGAGACTTTCATCTTAAAACCTTACTTCCTGTTGTCATTTCTCACTCTTATTCATTGTCAAATATCGATACATTCTCCTAGCTATTTCCGACGAGAACATATTCTGCAGCGAAAAGTAAATACACCGTTATTGAGTGAGTACTCAACACCTTTGATCCCCTAACACTCTACGCTTACAAAGTATCCAAACGTCGTAATTCCACGCAACTGGAGAAGCACATTGTGCTTTGGCATTTTTGGCATGCGTAATGATGATATTATCTTTAATTCAGAGAGCACTCTTTATGTACTCGAATCTGGATCAAATTGTAGCTGAATGTGTTATTCGCTTCTTGGATACAGCTGTCATCTGCCACGTTCTCTTTTTTGATGATCTAGCTAATCATCTAAGTGAGGGTAAGAGTTAGAGTTAGTAAATCCCATACTTTTATTCACTCTCGTCAAGCAGGAGAGTGGGAACCTCATGCACATAATTGGGTTCAATAGAAGTATCTGCAGATTCAAAAGAATTTCCATTACAACCTCAATTCACTACCGAATATCTTCTTTGGGGTTAGCACTCGGGATATGAGTACCTACCTAGGTAGATATATAAAGAAACGTCCAGATAATTTCTTATTATCAAGCATTCAAAAACTACAACCAATGTGGTGCAAGGACCGGGGCTACTCGCCCATGGGAGAACCTCCATGCCCCCCCTAAAGAAAGCGAAAGGGGAATGTAATTCGAAAATAGACGATCAGGGTTTCAGTTCCAACCTTTACTCTTTTTCGACGAGAGTTTGAGGTCTAATCGTCGCTTTTGTTTTTGTGTTGTCATTCACTTTTTTTATCTTATATGAAAACTTATGCATTTTAACAAACAACAGCGAGAGCTACTACGGAATAGTCTTTCATCATCTAAGAATCAAGTCGAAAAGCACGAGCCGCAAATCTCACATTTTGAAAGGGCCAATGTGAGATAACATTCAACTCCAATTCCGAAATCCATAGTTTGAGTCCTTGCTGCTGCATTTGCTATTATTTGAGTAGACCAGACAAAGATCCTTCCAGTCTCAAAGACGTGGGTATATATACTCCTCTTCGTTTAATTCCCAATTCCTCATGATACAGATACCAGGGTTTGGATAGTATGAATCAAAATCTTGTAAGCTAACCGATATATGAACCAGCGCGGAGATTATGGTACTCGCTACCGGTGTCAAGAGTATATAAGATACCCATATAGACGCCCCTCCAGCCTATCGGAAAGCAAATCAGCAGATGCATGATCCAAAGGAAAATCAGCTAGAGTCATTCCAAAAATTCTCTAGATATGCATGAAACGTGGAAGAAATTCTTGAAAGCTCTAAATTTGATATAACTAGGTATCAAGTGTGCTGATTTCTCCAATTTTACTCCAAGCTGTTTCATCTGAGTTGCTATAAATATACTTCATCATCAACTCATCAAGATCTTTTACTGTCATCTGTCATTTGTTCCATCCTAACTCACTTCGTTCCATCCCATTCGACTTTCACTATCATTCCTCATTCCTCATTCCGTCCACACATTACAATTCCATTCACCAAACCTCACCCGCCTCACCCTCAGCTCAGTATCCTAAGAACAGAGTATCCACGACAAATTTGACCAGATGTACGAATATCTCCATGAGATCCAGCATCTCTTTCGTGATTAGTGGGGTTGTACTGATGACATGATTCTAGACTACTCTTCAGGTTCCTTAAATAGTATCACGCCAGATTTCCTGTTGTCTCGATTATATTATATCATTAACTCAGTCAGCCTCATGAATCTAAGTTTCTCTACTAGTGGTCAATATAAAGAGTTCTTTTTTGATATCATAACTCCCAGCAGATCATACAACAAGTTGATCAGAAGAAAGCAGTAGAAAATACTGAAGTTGAGAAATATGCCAGCTCAAACTACCGGGAAATGAAGTATCATCTCAACCATATCCCCTTGCTTAAGTTTCTTATTCTCAGTTTGATTATTGTTTAAAGTGTTCACAAATATCAATCACAATCATCATCATACTTTCCACCATCGCCAACATCATCTCACCATTCGATTTCCACGAATCTTCATCCACACACAGCGCCGTGAAACATGACTTTTGTATTGTACAACTACACCTAAGTAATCCAAACATCTTTGCAGATACCAATCCCTCGCAATCAATCAAGACTGAAAAGATTCTACAGTTCAACAGGACTTTTTCAACATACTCTTCATTAAGCCTAATACCAGCTAATCAGAACCACTCTTTTACCTTTACCTCCTCTCCCTCTTTAAGTAATAAAGTAAGTAGCACAAACCCTCACCCACTCACTCATCCATAAAGTCAACCTAACTTCGGTCCCTCCACAATAGTTCACTGCCCACCAGATCACCTGTCCAAAAAGTTCCCATACAAATACCTAGTGTACAAATATACCGGGCCATAAATCCATAAATCCATAAATTCTCATCATCGACATAATCATCCCACCCATCACCCCATATATCCCCATCCCCCATCCCCACACCCCTTATGCAATTACCCGAGACCCCTCCCCCCATTCCACCCTCCACCAAACCAATAAATCCCACACCACACCACATCACATCATTCAAAAGACCCTTATTTCCCCAACTTTCCATTCGTGTTACAACTTATTACACTATGCTGTCCTACCCTACCCTTCCTATCCTACCCTACCCTTCCTTCCCTGTCCCACCTACCCTTCCTTCCCTCCATCCATCCATCTATCCCCATGCAACCTTCCGAACACGAAGGAACGAACAAGCACAAGCGAACGAGCACGCCACATTCATTTATTTATTTTTTCTTTTTGGCATATTTAACATACACTGAGGCTCTGCTTTTCTTTCTTTCTTTCTTTCTTTCTTTCTTAAATTTAGGTATTACAAGCATAATAAGTATTCCTATATTATCAAATTCCTTGCAATTTCCAATCCAATATTCATGTTCACTCTTATATACATCATCACTTACGCATACACACCCGTTTAATAACGTTCAATTAGATCCCCATCCTTAGCTTTAACCCCTTCTTCACCCACACCGTTCCCCCTCCCCCGTAAAACCCACCAAGTATGCCGTACACCCACACTCACACCATTCCCCTTTCCTTTCCCCATCCCCATCCCCATCTCCCCACGTCCCACAAATTCCATGTCACAAATCAACCCACGAACCCATTTTCTTGTCCTCCCCTCCCCTAGAAATCTCCAGTCGCAGTCCCAGTCCCAGTCCCTTTGCGCAGCTGGCTAGTTTTATACCCCACAACTAGCTTGAGATACATCCGCATCCGCATCCTCATCACACACACTAAACACTCACACTCACACTTACAGCACTTCACTGCATTGCACTATACAAAAAGAAACAAAAAGAAAAGAAAATAAACGAAATGAAACAAAACAGAACAAAACAATTCGAAAAACACAGAGAAAAGAAGAGATGAGAAAAGATGAGAAAAGATGATCAATCCCAAGAATTTTGAGGAATTAGGGAGTATGAATCTTGAATCTGAGGATGAGGCTGAGGCCCATGAACAGGTATCTAAGTATCTAAGTATCTAAGTAGATAATCAAATCCGATCCCAAATTCATTCCAAATCAAATCAAAATCACAACAAACTTCAAACTTCAAATTTCAAAATATGCAATTGAAATAGTACTACCTACCCCTATCTACCTATCTATCTATTTATTTGTATATATTATATATACATATATACCCACATACCCACAGTATAGGCAATAGTATACTATAGTAAAATAGTAATGTGTATAAAGTATTTGATATGATGGCTAGTATGTATTAGATAGTTGAAAACTTATTGTTGTAGATATTACTTAAAACGAATATCTATAAAGATATATAAGAAAACTAAAATATAATATTAAAAATTAAAACTAGTTTTAATAAAGTTTAGCTAATGAAAAAATATTATTTAATTATTAATATTTATATTCAAAAGCAATAAAAAAGATTAAAATACTTAACAATATTAATGATTTAGTATTAATTAATAATAATTATTCAATTGAATATTATTGAAATCTGAGAATAATCTTAAATTTGTATATGGCTTATTTTGTATCAATTAGAGATTTGTATTCCTGTATTCTATTAGAAGTATTTAATATTAGAATAATATTGAATATCTTTAGTAGTATCGAATTCTATATCATGTATATATATATTTCGGGAAAAAATCGATATGTATTACTATCTAATCCGTATACGGATTACGAGGAATACTATTGCCTACACTGTACACATACATATACATATACAATTCCAAATCCAATTCCAAATCCAATTCCAAATCCAATTCCAAATCCAATCCAACCCAAATCCAAATCAAATCCAACTCCAATCTCAATTCCAAATCCAATCCAATCCAAATCCAACCCAATTCCAATTCCAAATCCAATTCCAAATCCAAATCCAATTCCAAATCCAAATCCAAATCCAATTCCAAATCCAATTCCAAATCCAATTCCAACTCCAATATCAAATTACACCTAAACACCTAGAAATACTCAGAAATACATAACCTTAGTTCACTAGGTTAGCCTGAAAAAAAATACATATACACATATACACATATACACATATACACATATACACATATACACATATACACATATACACATATACACATATACACATATACACATATACACATATACACATATACACATATACACATATACACATATACACATATACACATATACACATATACACATATACACATATACACATATACACATATACACATATACACAACACAACATATACATATAATACAATATAACATAGCACCACATAACGCAATATTAATATATCACAACCTCGCATGATATAGCATAGCATAGCATAGCATGAACCATTCGATCAATGTCCATTCCCGGTTTGGTGTAACTACCTACCAGTAGATATGCTTTGTATGATTCTGATGACATGCATGCATGATATTTTTTTACCCAGATATCATCATGTAAACATGCCAGTTATTTTCCAACACAGGAGGATGCACATAACACAAATCAGATGATGTAGAGTTATTATAATTGTTGATATGTTCAATACCTAGATAAACATCTCTATCCTCCGATTCTCCATTCCATCCCTAAATAAAAAAACTACATGAGTGTAAACCATCTTATCCCATCCCATATATCCCACCCCAAACTCGTACAAATACCCCGCAATCCCAATCAAGAACTATATCCATTCAAATCTCTCTTAACGCCATCTATGCCTATTCCCATATCCATACACATACCAATTGTAGAAACAGTATCCCCATCAATACCAAAGGTACAAACCATAATGGAACCCCCCCATCATCTCACTAACCCCTAAAACAATCCGCCTTGTAGCCTTCACCGTGGCGTCGCTTAGCCTCATTTTCCCGCCTCACTCCAAATCGCCACTCATGCACCTAAGGTCATTCTACTCAACGACGAGATACCGATGTTCGCAATTTCTCTCTTTCATGTCTCTCATAACGTGCTGAATTATAATCACTCTCTCTGCCTTCACCTGCCCTCGGTTCTGCAGGATCGTAGTGTTTATGACTATCTCCATGATTGATGACATGGTTGTGTCCACTTCTTGATGTTTTTCCTTCAATATATTTCTTATCTAAATTGGGAGAAATCTGTTAGTTACAAGTTGTATATAATGAGAGAAAATTGGTCAAGATATCTACATACCTGCAGCAGAATCTCTATATTTCACACTTTGTTCTCCACCACTTCCTCTAGATCCATAACCTTGCCCACTGCTTGAAGAACGTCCCGACATATTTGAGTTTGATCCGGAGTAATAATCAGATGAACGAGTTTCGTACGAGTGTTGCGAATCTCTTGGGGAAGATTCCCGATGATGTATGACAGTAGTTCTTTGTGTGTATGTGTATCCACGAGAGCCAGTGTATGACATTTGAGGTTCTTCGGATAGGTACTTTCGGAATCTTTATGTACTTGATGTGCGAGGCGAAAGTTTGACTTTGTTGTATCGTAGAAGGGCGTATGGGGCGTATGAGGTGTATAGGGCGTAGAATGGAGTATTGTAGTATTGTTTCAAATTCCGTATAATCAAACTAATGGTTAATCTTGACCAAATGAAAAAGCAAACAAAAAGAGAAACATCATACTTATTATATAGATGCAAGAGAAACAGAGAAATTGACTAATGAAATCATTCAATTGTTACCTGTTGTACACAGCAGCTTTCCAAAAGAAGGCAAAATCATTGACAGAGAAGCCCAACAAGGACATTGCCCACTCTACCTGTTGAGGACGGAGACAGTTTGAACCATCTACCCAATGGGTGGCTGCCTTTGGATGAGGTATTTGACTCAAAATGGACATTTCAATCCCATGAGTCACCAAGCTAATGGACAATGACAGTTCGGTGAATAGTTTCATCCAAGTACCATGAGAGGAATCGAGGTTGGATGGTGACGTCGGCCTTGAAACTCGGATATGGAATACCGTGAAAAGGGAAATTAAAGGAAATAAGCTCAAGGCTCCCGTCGGCGGAGCAGTCATGATCGGGAAGTGGAAATGGAGTATTTCCTATGATGCATTGCTTTGTTTGACACAGCCCAGAAGAATTGATCGAATGTAGAAAGAAGGTAGAAAGGATGTGGAGGCACTGGTGAAGCTTGGAAGTACGAGAGAGCACAGCCATTCGTTTTCCTTCGGGCCCCTCCCTCATTTTCCCTTGTGGCTTTCCATCGGGCATTTTTTGAAACAGGCAGGAAAGACAAACAAGAGGGATGGAGATTTGCGGAAAGTTCTGGATGGTAGAACGGTACATACGATACGAGAGGATACGAGAAGATGGGGAAAACGGTTCCAAGAAGGTGACGTGAATGATGAGTGATGATTGATTATTGATGCCTTGCATGAATCCGGGTTGATTGTTTTCGAGGCTTCCATGTTTTCAGCTGAGGTGACAGGTGAGGTTTCTTGGTTTGTTTTTGCCCTTTTGCCTAGGTACCCAGGTATTTCGTTTGATATCGATAAGACGATGAGTCAAATATTGAGTCTGGGGGGTTTGGTATGACTGTTGACTGGCGGTCTGACGGTTGAATGAATTACGCATACGAATAGCATCGGCATTGCCATCTCAATCTCGGTGTAAGGATATGTATATGTGTACCTGGGTATGGATGGATAACTCGTGATGAGATGTATACCATCGTATATACCAAGGTATAAAGAGCTGAGGTGTGAAGAGCTTCGAGTATCTTTTCGTATCTTTTCGGTGAACATCATAGTAGGAATTCTCGTGGAAAATTAACAAACATACAAGCAAACAAACAAATCAATAATCGAACCATCTCATCGTGAAGAGAAGTCGAGGTCACAATAACAATGATGTTGTTCAAGGGAAGAAAAGGATAGAGGGAGGGGAAAATCAAAATTCAACGAAATCCCATAAGTGTGGTGGTGTGAGAGGATCGTCATGTGATTTCTGTATCGATAGGTACGAATGGGATTGTATGTACGATACTCACCCATCATTAGTCATCCATCATTGATCCATTTGATTGGCCAACACACACTTGAGCCGAGAGAGCTTCATGCGGGACAAGGCTACGCTACACCCCAAATTCACCCATTCACATCCTCAACCCTCAACGTGTCCAATACTCATACTTCTTTGTTGTTCAATCAAATATACCTTCATAAATTTCAATTCAATCCATTGACAATCCATTGATCAATTAATCAATCAATCAATCGTCAATACAACAACACCTTCAATATGCGTCTTTCAACAATTTCCCTCCTTGCTCTCACTTCCTCGGTCCTCGCGGCCGAAGTGAAGATTGATGTAACCAGAGCTGTCGAATGTGAGCGCAAGACTCAAAAGGGCGACAAGATTCATGTTCATTATCGAGGAAATCTTGAGGAAGATGGAAAGGTTGGAAAAGAATTCGATGCTTCCTACAACCGTGGATCTCCATTGAGTTTTGTCGTCGGAAAGGGTAGTGTGATTAAAGGGTATGTACTTTTTACTTACTGAGAGTCATGGCTATGAGAAGGATTTGGATGGAAATACTAATTTTGATCTTGTAGATGGGATGATAATCTTCTCGATATGTGTATTGGTGAAAAGAGAGTTCTTACCATTCCTCCCGAGTTTGGTTATGGTGACAGAGCGATGGGTCCAATTCCAGCCAAGAGTACATTGAGTAAGTAAATTCTTATTCTCATATCAGATATCCCCTTCACAAAATATCTATTATTGAATCACTCTACCCCTATCCTTCTATCTACATTCCCAATTACCAAATATACAAAACTAATATTTCCTCCCCACTAGTTTTCGAAACCGAACTCATGGGAATTGACGGTGTCCCCAAACCCGAAACTATTATTGAAAAGACCTCCTCCTCATCCGATAAAGTCGATAGCGCCACCGATAGCGCATCATCACTCTCGGATAAAGCTACCGAAAAAGCTACCGAAGCAGCAACAGGAGGTGTGAAAAGTGCCATTTCCGAAGCCGCAGAGGCGGTGAAGACGGCTCTTGCTGATTCTGATGGTGATGGACAGGAGCACAACGAGTTGTAGATGATTCAATTGATGGGAAAGGAAATGGAAATGGAAATGCTCAAAGGGTTTTAAAACATGGTCATGAAGCCCCGCATAGTAATGGTCATGAATTGTGAGGATGGCTTCTGGATTGCTAGTGGTATGGTGATTATGTAGGAGGTTGAATGTGGATAGTACGTGATTCCATGACTGGAAAAGCTATTTGGCAGAGAAGTGAAAGGGATTCAATGGGTAATTAACCTATTTCTTCCAATTATGTTGATATAACAATAAATATTCTTAAAATCGAACATATAAATATCTCATATGGCCCATTCTTGATTCTATACAATGTGATTTATTCCTACTTTGAGATTCGTTGATGTGTATATACATCTAGTACATGTATGTATATATATACTTGGAAACTCACCTCTCATTTTCACAATTATTAGTATTATCAACGATACCATGTCATATCATCTCACAAATTATCTCGCATAATAGGTATATTTCAACAAGTATCTAGATAGATAGGTAGGTAGGTAGGTAAATAACCCTCCAACTCATCCATGGATATATTAGATATTAGATCTTAGATCTTAGAAGTAAGGGGTTTCTGCATGTTTGAATCTCTATATCTCTATATCTCTATATCTCTATATCTCTATATCTCTATATCTCTATATCTCTATATCTCTATATCTCTATATCTCTATATCTCTATATCTCTATATCTCTATATCTCTATATCTCTATATCTTTGGATCCTTGTATCTTTGAATTTTTGAATTTTTGAAGTTATAATGGGAGTGAGTGGGATGGAGTTAGGAGGGGAGTGAGAGTTATAAGGGGAATGAGAGAGTAAGTGAGTGAGATGGAGTTATAAGGGAATGAGTGAGTGAAAGAGAGTTATAAGAAGAGTAAGTGAGATGGAGTGGGAAGATTGAAGCTGGCATGGGAAGATTGGAGAGGGTATGGTATGCTATCTATAGAAAGATAGAGAGAGTGATGTTTGGGGACATAGATGAGGGTTAGGGATAGAGGATGGGGATGGGAATAAGGGTTAGAGGATGGAGGATAAGAATGAGGGATAGGGGATATAGTAAAAGAGAATTAGAAGAAGTAGAGAAGGGTTAGTGTAAATGGAGAAGGGGAGATAAAAGGGAGAGAGAGAGAAGGAAGAGGAGGAAGAGGTGAGGAGGAAGAGGGAAGTAGAAGAGGGGAGGTAGAGAAGGAGGAAGAGTGGAGGTAGAGAAGGGGGAAAGTGAAAGGAGAAGTATGAGAATTGAGGAATAGTGGAGAAGTAGAATCTTGAGAAGAATATATATGTTTTGTATAGTATTTATTGTATAGATTTGATGTGTATATATGATATATATATATGATAAGATATAATATATATATCTCTACTTATCTTTTACTATTATTTTATATTATATACTATATATCTCTATAATTTTATTATGTTTCTATTATGACTTGTAATTTATAAAGATTTTATAAAGATTTTATAATTTATTTTTATCTTTATTCTTTTCAATCATCTTTAATATTTTTATTTTATATAAGAATATAAGGATATTGAAATAATCAATATTTACATTAGAAATATTAGATTAATATGAATTAAATTATATTTTATACATCTTGTAATTAGTAACTATATATGGTTTATATAGAGAAGAGAAGAGAAGAGAAGAGAAAAGGGATAAATAGTAGAGTAGATGGTGAGGTATATATTTAGGGAGAAGAGAGGAGAGATAATTAGATAGTGCGATGAATAGTTAGATGATAACCAATAGATAATAAAATAAAGAAAGGAATAATAGAATGAAAGAAAGAATGTTATATTTGAAAGAGAAGAGAGATAGTCGAATAAGGGAATTGAATAATAAGTAGAATAAATGAGAGAAAATGTATTTGAGGAAGGGTGGATGGTTAATTGATGAAGCAAGATAGTTAAGGGGAGAATGATAGGATGTGTAGGATGTAGATGTTTACCTCCACGAGCAGGGACGAGGGGTGTTTTCGGAGGGGTAGTTTAAGGTGTTTGCAGAAGGGGTGATGGTATAAAGATTAGAGATAGTGGGATGAGGGATGGATATAATGTGATTATAGAGTGAGAGTGTTGGATGGGGATAGAACGATAGTGGATAGGGAGGTGATGGATGGTAAGATGGATAGATGTCCAAGAAGGAAGAAAAGATAGAAATTGGATATGGTTTTGAGGAAGGCAAAGTAATGAATAAATTAATCAAGTAGTAGAGGAATAGGAATAGGAATTGTGATTCTAGTTATAGTGTTCATGTTGAGATAGTAGTATGCATATCAAGAAAGAGTGGAATGACTTGAATGGTGTGTATATGTCGAGATAGTAAGGATACACAAAGAAAGAGTGGAATTTTTATATGATATAATATATATTGAGAAGGTAAGGAACGTATATCTTGAAAAGAGGGAGTGACGGGTTGAAGGAACATATGTATGTATAGGGGAGACAAGAGTTTGAAGTGAACGGAGATGAAGTCAAGGGACTAGATCTGATAGACAGGAGGTGGTTATGGATTCATAGATACAGATACAGATAAAATTGTAGATGACTTCAATCTTGTATCATATAAGGATAGAAGAACTCAAGTAAATAGGTGAAGATTGGTGATAGCAGGAGGGGGAGGGGGATTTCTCCTGGGGTTACTTGTCTTGTATCCAGCTAGACCTTGAGATTTATGTTATATGTCGTCGTGCGAAATACTCTTTTTTAATCTTTTGGATTTTAAAACGGGTATCCACTATAATCTGAAATAATGAGGACCAGATAGTGATAGACTGTACCCATAGTCATCTATCTGTTGGTGATTTTATTGATATACTAGTATACGAGACCAATGCATAAATACTCCATCTTTAAGGCTAGATAGCTAGATAGCTAGAAAAATATACCTAGTATGCAAATATATATATCAATACGTCGAAATACATGTTAAGATATAAAACTCAAACTAACTAACATTTCTCAAACAATAACAGAATATTCTACTTTCTGGTCGCCGACCAAGCAGGGTGGGGATGAGTGTTTGATTCAAAAGAAAGCTTACCTCCCATTTCAATAATGGCAGGGCTCATCTCATACTACTAGACGTATACCCCATCTTTCGAACTGTATGATGAAATTGATATGAATATAAGTACCATGTAAAGCAAACGAAGTTACTATACAACCATGTAATTTCGTCTGATATCAATGAAAATATTCATATTTGGATACCCCGTCGAAAGACAGATACCTAGTAGGTATCCAAGCTTCATACATACTGCACACACAGACTTCAGCTGTCTCTTGATAGATCCATATCTAGATCGATATCCACACAAACCCGTGTTTGATACACATGAACGGAGCTATCTCCGTAGTCATTTCATGCAAGATCCATATCTGAGATCTCGGAACACAGACTGTCATCCGTACAGTGTCCATTGTACAGGAGGCAGAAATACCAAGAGCGATCCACCCAAGCACAGAAGCAAAAGCAAATAACCAGAAACATCGACGCACGCGTGGAGAAATCGACTCCATAAATAAGATAACACCATAGATGTATGTGTATGACTGATATCCACCTCGGCGCATACACTTGATGTGCTGTGTGTGCTGTAGTATCCACAATCTCATATTCTAACCGTATACCCCAGTGCTCGCAAGCACTTATCTTGGTACTTACTATATCTGGTGAGTTAAACCATGTGATTCGTTCTATTCTTATCACATTTGTCTTTCGTCAGTCTTCATTGGACTCCGTAGATCAATCATTTATTTCGAAGATGGTCT